TATAGAAAGCAGCATTCGAACCAGCATAAAAAGGCGCATTTTTTGATAAACAAACTATTGTGAATGGTCGGGGTCATCAAGTTCGTTCCCTGCTTAGGGCGTTCAATCTTTATGCTGTAAACGACAGTCATTCATTCAGTTCTGGTGGTTGTGGTATATACCGGTATTGCGCTTTCTTCATCTTATTCGATCATAGTATTCCCTTAGATTGTTGAGCATTTCATTGTTGATTACGGCCCCTCCCCCTCAACCTTACTCCCCATTAGGACCCCAAGCGGACACTGACCTCACCCTGATGATATCTCGAACTTTTAGTTGTGAGATTGCATTCTGAAGAGCACCCCAGCGCCTTTCTGCTCATCCAGGGAAAGCGTGCGGTATCGGCTAAACACTCCGCCGCATTGAAGGCAGTGTCCGGGCAAAAACTCGATTTCTAGAAAATCACTTACCGAAGGTTATCCGCAAGCTGAATCCGAAAATCCACATTAGAAGGCGCGAAAACAGCGAGAACATACGTTTTCCAAAGCCGCCCACTTGAAATTTGAAGGTCACCAAGGCAGAGACGCAGAGTCGCTGCGGGGCCCTACATTCTGACTGTGGCGCCATGCTTACTCTGCCGCATAGCAGGAATTCGGACAGCTCGGAGCATAGTTGCGATAGGGAGATGGATCTTACCCCCTTCACTTTGAGACCAAACTCCTGATGACCCCCTTCACCTGGGCTGAGATTGGTGTTGTACTCCGAGAATAAATGTCGTTATTAAAAGGTTTTGCAGGCTAAGTACCTCAAACAACAAGTACACTCATAAGTTTACAAAAGGAACGGTATTTATGTTTATTTATATTATTTATTTATCCTCGTAGCATTCATTTGGAGAGCAGAAAGTGAGGACAAAAAAGCAGTTGGTTTTTGGAGCACATAAAATCCCTCACACCTCGCGGCACAGAAGACCTAGAAAAGAGTCGACGGTCTACGTCGATTCTCCATGATCTCAGCTTTCGAATGGTACAAAGCAAGTTAGGGCTTTCTTGTTTCCCGGCTCTAAAAATCATTTGCTCCAGTGACCGATAAAAGCCAATACATTGGTGGAGCTGGGTGGAGCAAGCTAATAGTTATTCGCCTAGCAATTTATATACCATTCGAAAGCTCAGGAAAAGGGGATTCGACATAGAACGTCGACTTCTTTCTAGCCCCCCCCCCCTACCGAGAGATACACCGCATTTTATCTGAAAACATGTCCATTTTACAGCAGATTTCTGCCAAACAAAGATCTAATCACTGCTGATTATCTATCTATGTTACAGAGCAAGTCTTCATTAACAAACGTAGACCGTCGACTTTCTCGTAGCATTGATTTGGAGAGCAGAAAGTGAGGACAAAAAAAGCAGTTGGTTTTTGTAGCACATAAAATCCCTCACACCACGCGGCACAGAAGACCTAGAAAAAAGTCGACGATTTACGTTGATTCTCCATGATCTCAGCTTTCGAATGGTATAAAGCATGTTAGGGCTTTTTCGTTTCCCGGCTCTAAAAATCATTTGCTCCGGTGACCCATAAAAGCCAACACATTGCATAGGTCGTCCGGAAAGTTTTTGCGCACGATTTTCAAAAATTCACAACTTCTGATTTTCCAACCGATTTGACTGCTTTCACTTTTATGTAAAAGGGTAAGTTATGCTCTTTATAATGACATCTCAGCTGCTTAGTAATGATTATGTGTTGCATAGATAGGAGCGATAGAAGAAAATTGGTCAAAATTTGAATTTTGTGTAGGGTCATGAAAAATCGAAGACTTGCAACAAAAATCGGAGCAGTCAGTGTTGTAGGTTCTTTCACCAGCTCTTTTTAACAGTGCAAAGTTTGCGCTGATTGAAGGTCTATATGAAAAGTTATGATTTTCGAGCAAGCAATACAAAAGGGCGATTTTTTTTTATTTTGGCATTTTTCAGGAAATCATAATTTTCCATGGAAACGCTCAATCGGCGCAAACTTTGCACTGTTAGAAAGAGCTGGTGAAAGAACCTACAATACTGACTGCTCCGATTTTTGTCGCAAGTCCCCGATTTTTATGACCTTACACAGAAAATTCAAATTTTGACCATTTTTCTTCTATCGCTCCTATCTATGCAACAGATGATCATTACTAAGCAGCTGAGATGTCATTATAAAGAGCATAACTTACCCTTTCACATAAAATTGAAAGCAGTCAAATCGGTTGGAAAAATCAGAAATTATGAATTTTTGAAAATCGTGCGCAAAATTCGGGATGACGTAATAAGAGCGAGGTAGAGCAAGTTAATAGTAAAAAATGTGCTGTGGATTGACATCGTTATCAGCACTAACGGGAACGTGAGCGAACGCGTCTATTCAAGCGTGCTTATCGTTGTTATATGTTTATGTTTTTTTTGGTAAATAATGCGCTTTTGATTGACAGTCATGCCATCATTATTAGCACACACTCAAAAAACTATGGGAGATTGGTGAATTTCCACACCATCACACAAAAACCCGCCCATTTCTGGAATCTATACTCTGTAAACCATACCTTCGATACATAGAGCCATGTACTCTGCTAACCTTCACTTTGAGCCTCATGATAGAACACAACCTTCACTTGGAGAGAAGTACAGAAGACATATGGGGCGTAGCCGTGGATATTATGCCGTAACTATTGACAACATATAGGGATGAATGAATGAGGCATATAGTAGTGACATTCTAAAGAAGCTCAAAAAACCGAAGGTTCGCGTTTGTATGGCCTTTTTTGCTGAAAAGAAAGTTTTTATAAAAAAATGAATTAGAAACTAGGACAAAATTTCTCAATTAACCTTTCTCTAGACTGTGATTGAGCATTGGAAGTTCATGAAAGCCGCTGGAGTTCAATAAAAACGAGAAACTACGCTCAAATCTTGCGCAGGGATTCGCCACATAAATGCTGGTCTATCTCGTTATTGAGTGATTTTTGAGATACGCGACGTTGTCAGTGCTCCTGGCCGTCTCATAAGGATCACAACGATATATAATGTTATAGGGTTTCGCTGTGACCCCGTGCAGATCAATGACCAGAGCCATATGCCCCGCCGGCTCTGGTCTGTCTCCGCTGCTCGTCTGCGTCTCCGCGCGTTGCGCGCTACCTCGCTACCTCAAATGCGGGGCGCGGGGAATTTGGCTCTGGTACCCTTTTCTTCGTTGTTCGAAGCCCAATTACGACAATCTATATATCATATTAAAGCTCTTGATCTCTATTTTCACACTGACAACGTCGCAAGACTCCTTTTTATGATTTAACCGAGAAATCTGGGAAAAACGGCGTTTTTGAAAACCTCTTGTTTTTTCTTCAATTTAACTTTTTTCACTCGGCTTTTTTGTGTATTCGATAGGTCTCGTTTTTATCTATGATTTAGACAACGTCGCCAAGCTTGCTTCTTTGCTTATGCCGGTTTTTTCGTGAAAATTACTAAAAAATGCGTTTTTCTTTACTTTGTTCCCCTTCATTGCTTTCGCAACGAAATTTCTCCAGCTTGGACGATACTTGCTCAGAATGATGAGCGGAGGAATCCAGACAACGACGCAGGATACGAAACGACTATGCGGGGGTGAAAATTTAAAGGACGCATCAAAAATCAGATTGGCGTCGATGTGCAACATATCTTTTCAAACGTGTTTAACATGTTCAATTCAGTTGTTGACAAGTTTTCCTTTTTTCGGTCTCCCAACTACCGCAACAGCTAAACAGCGCCTTTTTTAATTGGAAAAGAACTTTGTTCTTGTTGCCACCCAACTTAACCGGCAATCCTGAAGAGCAACTGTGCGTAGGAAACTAGCAAGTCAGTTTCAAATTTGGTGATGTGCTAATCTCTGCTTTATATGAATTTTTCAACTTTCCTGGTTTAATTCGTATCTGTAAATTTTCATCTATTTTTCTGAAACAACCTTCACTTTTATAGGGGGCAGGAACTCAAACAACTATCACTTTCTAGGCTCTGTCTCTTGACTATCGAAGGTATGCTGTAAACTTAGTGCTGAAGAAAGTCACTTTCGTGAAAACGCTCTAGACTCACCTTACCTAATTTGTAGAGAATGGTTGGTTTCAATGAATTATTAGGTTGGCACATAAGTTTTGCAACTTTTCCTTAACTTTTTTCCTATTTCATGTAGCAATCTCGTTTTGTGGCATCGTGTAGATCGTGATGTAAGCTGCAAGTCTGCGCAAACCGTTTGATTTTTGATAACGTAGTACAAAAAATCTAAGCATTTTTTGAAAACTGCTGAAAATCGAGGTTTCACGATTTTTTGGCAAACATGAAGCCCTACGAAACCTGATTCAAACATATGAAAAAGCAATTATAGGCTGCATGTAGCTGGAAGTTGGCACATTGGAATCAGTGAAAAAGAAATGAAATTTAAACACAAATTAAGCTGGAGCGCCTTTGAGAAGTTGAACAAGTCAAATGCGTCAAGTTTTGAAGGCAATTTGTCAATAACTAAGCTGCGAAAGGTCAGAATTCGCTATAACTTTGCACTATGGGGTAATCCTATGCGGTAAACACGAATATCATATTCATTTGTCGCTAAAATGAAATTCATTTTTTGATCTCACGAACGAGGCCTTTTCATGCGAAACGGATCTTATTTTTGTGATCAGCATGTCAAATAAGCCCTATAGGCCAAGTTTCAGCAAAATCTGATGCATTCTAAAATTTTTCCCATAGTACCGTGAACCTACCGTAATCCTCACATAAGATGGTAAAATTCGGCAAAAATGTGTGCATTAGAAGCTTACATCATATTCCTTATATTTTCAAAAAATGAATGCGCTATGTTCAAATAGACAAAAGTTATATAAAAAGTTGCATTACTTATGTGCCAACCTAATAAAAACTTTAAGGCATTTAGAAGAATAACATGTTATTAAAATATCCCTCAATATTTTGGAAAGGCTGAGTTTGAAGAGGAAACGGCAGGCAGAATACTTGACAATCGCAGATGACTTGCATGTGTTCCATTTCAACAGAAGGAGAATCTTACGCCGACGAAAATGTTGTCGACATTGATACATAGTTGACAAATGAGCGAAACTCTCTGATTTCCTACACAAAGAATCCAAGCAGATTGCATAGTTTCAATGAGGAAATATTTAGGAAGTCCATTGCTGATCTTCAGGTTGCTAAAGATTTCAAGGTTGCTAACTTCACAAACATGGATAT